TTAATGTCTGCACATCTGCAGCCAGTCTTCCTTCCATGGACATTGCAGGGAGACTGCACCCAGCTGTGTTTGTCAAGCTCCTTCGGCCTGCAAGAGAGCCAGGGCTAGGAACCCCAAACCAACAGCGTAAGCCCTCTGACACAGCTCGGCCTTCTCGGCGGCTTCCAGGCCAGGAACCTTCGCTGCTGAAGCTTGCAGAAGGGGCCGATCTTAANNTTAGGCTGCAGACCGACAAGCAAGCTCAAACCAAACTCAGAACCGGCTGTGCCTTCTCTGCAGGTGTGTCCAGGATCTTTGCGGCCTTCGCCGGCGATTCCTGCACACGGAGGCACGCACCGCAAATGAAGAACCAAGAACTCAGTGACGAGGTCTTCTTCCTGTTCTACAGGGGCTGCCGTACGCTTCGCCATGGTGCTATGGACAACTGCGAGGTCTGTCTATCGTACTTGAAGTTCCAGGAGTCTTTGTCCGACAGGGTCCGCTTTCTGTTTCGCATGGTGTTTCATCATGGTCTCCTCTTGACGTCTGTGCACCTATCCTTTTGAACCAAAACAGTGCAGCAAGGTCGCAACCAAAATGAGGACCACAAACACTTGTCAAAGCATACCCGGGCGAGCAACAACACACCTGCAAGAGCACATCAATGCACCACATGTCCCAACGCTTCAATGAACAACTAACAGCATCGGCAAGGCAGTGGTCAGGGTTGCACAACGTCATGACAGCAGCAAAGCGGTGGAGAGAAGCATGAGCACAGCAAAGTCTGGAAATCGACACAGACTAGCAAATGCCAGGGCGGTCTTTTTCGCCTTGCGCGCTTGCAATATGAACCGGAACTACTGCTGGATCCGCTCTCTAGCAGCACTGCTGAATGCCCTGCCGCTGTAAATTCCGTAGTATTCTGCGAACTGACCCTCGGACACAAATATCAAGTTCTGGCCAGCTGGAGTGTCAGTTTTGCTGTTTCGCAGCACCACGAAGATGTCATCTTTGTCACAGGCTTTCGCACGCTCAGTTTCTAGGTGACAAGCTGACTGCCCATGCTTCATCTGCAAGCACTCTGCAATCAGCTCGCCAGCCACGGTCTGCAAGCGAAGGACCGCATCTGCAGCAGGTGCACCCTTCGCATTCAGAACAAGAACATCAGTCTCCTGCAAACTGACCGCGGCGACTTTGGTCTCCTTGCCATCGACTTCGCACTCATGCATTTTGAGATGGCTTGCGGGCTTTGTCGCTGCTGAGTCTTTGTGGGGCTTTGGGTTGCCGCAGACATTT